GGTCTATGGATTGGCTCTCCTGGCAGTGTATTTTCAAATATGTTTGGAAACTTTACTCCACAGGCTTGCATTTCATGGGAGTTTTCTTCCACAGAAGTCCCACTTAGGCCCTCACAGGCCTGTCTGTGGTATAGCTTTTATGGTTCCCAATGCCCAAGACACATAGGTTCACAGGTTCCAACTAGTTTTTATATTAATTTCTCAGCTTAGGGTTTCCTCACCACTTGGATAGTGCAAGACACAGACAGCCTAAGGGTTGTGCTCCTTCGTAGGTAACTCTGTTTATACCCATGCCCTGAAGCAGAATCTGATCCCTGCTGTGACTCTAGGATGTGGGACAGAGCTCTTCTGGTCCCCATTCACAGGTGATGCCCTTGTCCAGCTTCCTGCTTTAGGTAGAGAGTCTAGGTCTAACCTCCAAGCATAGATGGACCTGTGGCCTCAACTCATATCCCCCATGTGTGTGTTAATACTACTATCCCTGAGGTGAGTACACAGTCCAAGCCCCTCCAAGGAGTTCTTCACCTTCTGCTCACTGCCATTGCTATAGATCCTTCATTTTGGCCCTCAAGATTCCCTCTCTGTTGCTACTTGTTTGGAGTGGGGAATTCCATGCCCACTCAGCCCCCCATCCTGACCTCGAAGTGGGCCATGAGATGCTGCTTCCCTGTTCCCCTACTAGATTGGATGCTCCATGACAACAGAACTGTAACTGTATCTTTAGGACCCCTCACAGTGCTGGGCACATAGCAGGTGCTCCATAAATATTTGTTGTAATGAACTGAGCAAACAAGGAGGTAGACGGCATTTCAGGAGAAGGGAGCAGAAGTGGCTAACGCAGGAATGAACAGGGTGTACTTGGGCAAGTGTGACTGGAGCACAGGGTGTGAGGAGGATGGCAGTGGAGGGCAGACAGGCAGAAAGGCAGGTGGGGCCAGCCTATGGGAGGTCTTCACTTCCACCCCTAGCAGCCTGAAATGGGTCTGGTAGGTAATTGGTAAACCATCGAAGGTGTCTGAGCTGGGGAGTGATAGGACAGAGCAGGTTTGAAGATGATGATTCTGGGAATGGGGTACAGAAGCAGAAGCATGGGGATCCAGTTAGTCTATTGCAGTGGTCCAAGGGATAGGACTGAAGGTCTGGCCTCCAGAGGTAATGAGGAATAGAAGCAGAAGACCCATGCGGGAGACATAAAAACAGAGGCCTCAGAGGCTGGCTAGATGTGGGGAATGAGAAGGCAGAGTCAAATATTAGCCCAAGGGTTTGAGCCTAGGTAGCAGGAGGAACAATGAAATCATGGATGGAAGTAGAAAAAAGAGTGTGTGCACGCACAGCCACAGACACGAACGACTCAAAAACGCGACGCACAAGGGGACACACACAGATGGCCAGTGCAGCCTTAGGGAGAGATGGCCCAGCTGCCTCCCTGGCATTAGGGAGGACCATCCCGATGTCACACCTGATACAAACACCAACCTGAAGGCTGGCAGCATTGTCACTTCTAAACAAAACTTTGAGAAGAAGCGAGCAGTGAATAATGGTTTTAGGTTGAGTCTTTAGGGGTCTCCTTGTCCATCTGCTGGTCTCAAGGCCAAACCCATCAAAGCCATCCCTCTTCCCAAGATTATCCCAAAAAACTATTTTGCATTTCACTGTCCTCCCTAGGATCCAATGAAAAATTTTCTGCTGCTCTTAAATGCCACGGCAGCTCACCAGCAAATTCCATCATTCCTCCAGCCCGGCTCCTGCCTCTTGCCACCAGCTTCGGTGAGAACTGGCCAACGCTTCTGACGGAACCATATACGTGGTCTGTGACAAAATTTCCCTGGCTTCTGGTAAATTTACTCATCTTCTGCTGCTTTCTAATTGCTTTCAGGCTTTTACCATCAAGAATGTGGGGCTTGCCTACCTGAAGCCTCCTGAAGAAGAGAATGTATTATATGTTGTTGGTAACTCCTGAAGCCCCCAACCCAAAGATGGACACACTGGGAGGAGGTGCGCTAAAGCTACAGCGGATGCTGGTTCTGGATTCGAATTCTGCTTCCACCCTCACAGGAGCTGTGTGATCTTGGGAGTTTACTCAACCTCCCTGAGCCTTGATTTCCTCAGCTGTGAAGTGGATGCCCTAATGTCTTCCTCACAGCATGGTCGTGAGGCTCCAACAAGAAAACACTGGAGGAAGTCCCTAGCACAGTGTTGGCACGTGGTCTTCCCTCAAACGGAGGTTGAAGGTGCGTGTGAGGAAGCGTCTGCACAACAGATACAATGGGAATGAAGTAGAATTCAACAACTGACATTGAATTATTCCCTCAGTCGTCGATGTTTTCAGGTGAATAAGCTCACAGACTCCAGCCCTTCCCTACCGCGTTCATTTTCCAGCTATTTCCTAGCCCCAGCCTTCTGTGTTGGGTTTACTGGCCAACATCCACCTCTTACCCCCAGCTCCTGCTGCCTCTTCTCTAGCTCTGGGCCCAGAGTGGGGCGCGGAGTGAGGAGGTAAGGGCAGGGGAGGCACGTGCGAGGCCAGGGTGGGGCTTACCTGGGGCCGAGGGTGCCCAGTGACAAGGCACTGCAGCACGAGGGTGTCCCCCTCCCGGATGGTGTAGACGCGCTCACTGATGTTGTCCTCCTTCACCACACACGCCTGGCCCGCGTGGACGATTTGAGCCTGGGCGGGAGCTGGCGGGAGAGGGGGCAGGTTTAGGTAAGAGGCACCAAGGCCAGCGGGGGTCTAAGGCTCCCTCCTCTGAGTGTGTTAGGGGGGAGATGTCAGCCCAGAACTCCCCAGGCCATTCCTTAGAGGCCTGACCTATGGAGCTCTGGAAAGAATACTCCCAGGGTCCCAGGCTAGGCCCAGAAAGGTCAAGGACTCAGGAAAGGGCTAGTTCCTCCTCATCCCACCCTCCTTGCAAGAGTTCTGTGTTTTCAATGAGCTGATGAGTATGAGGCGCTCAGTAATCCATACAGATGGGTCATCTCTCCGTGAGCATCGCTGTCTTAGCAGCCTCTGTAGCAGAGACTGCTGGCGCTCCCCCAGGTCCCCATACCTGCCGGGTACATCCATCCCCCAGCTGCTAGGCACATACAGCTCACCTTCCCCTGGGAACTGTCCTTCACCAGTGGGAGCTGCCTCAGCCAGAAATGCCTGGGAGCTCTCCCCTTCCCCTAGTGCATATGCACATAGTCCAATGGCTGACAGATCCCCGTCTCCTGGTGGGATGACTATGGTGCCATTTGCACTCCAGAGCCCCCCTGGGAATAGGTTGAGGCTAAAACAACTGAACCACATTTCTGTCTGTCTGCTTCCCCATCCAGTTTCTCCTGAGAGCACTTTCCCAGCAAATCACTTGCCTGAACTATACCCCATCAACCATCCAGCCTTTACTTTTAGAGAGCTTAACTAACATATTTCCCAGCCCCACAGACTGCTCACTGCCCTCACCCAAAGGCCTGTTACTGTTCCCCCATTGCTCCTTGAGCAGGCCAACCTCTTCTTCTAGGGACAGAAGCTCTCTCCAGGGACCTGGAAGCCTCCAAAAGACTGGCTCCTTCCTGGCCTTTCTCACATGACCAGGGCTGGGGGACCAGGGCTAGGATGTGGCTGGGACACCCAAAGGGAAAATGACTGGATTGGGAAAGTACACAGTCCCTCCCTAAGTGTCTAGCCCCTAGCCCAGCAATGTTTGGGCTTGGAAAAGGAGGGCAAGACCCCCCGAGTTCCTACCTGTCTGCTCTCAGCTGAGGGTAGAGAAAATGGAGGTAGGAAGGCTAATCCGGAGCACAAGGGGGTGAAAACAGAGTCCTTGCCCTAAAGAGGTGTACAAAGATGCGATAAAGCCTGTGCATAAGATGTGTAACTTCCCCCAGGAATCATCCCATGATTGGCCTGCACCCTCCCTCCTTCTGTATCCATCACTATCCCAGTACAACAACAAAGCATCAATCTGTGTGTCTGCCAGATTCAGGATTCTTGTCTTTCTGCCTACCCAACCATGAGTTTCACCTTGATGTTCCCAGTGAATGTTGAGTGAATGAATCTACAAGAACATCCCATGGCAATGTGTCTAAGCATTGTAAGAGAGGTGGAGAGGGCCCAGAAGGTCAGAGGAGAGAGAGAGAGCACTGTCTGCTAGAGAAAGAATCACAGAAGAGATAGCCTTCTAACCAGGCCTCAGAGAACAAGGGACTTTGTGCAGGTTGACCAGGCAGAGTCCCGTCTAATATGTATTACCTGGAGTAAACCCTTAGTGGTCTTTGGACCTTCATTTCTCATCTCTGAAACAGAGAGAATGCTGCCAGGCCTGAGAACTCACAGGGGTGGGTGTGACAGTAACACAGGCAAAATGACAAGTGCTTAGGAGACCCCTAATGTGTTCTAGAGCTGCCGCAAGTAGACCTTAACAGAACCTCTCCGACCAAATCCACTGGGGCAGTCAGGAACTAATTACAGAGGTGGGTCCACAGAGGCAGCCCAGCTGTAGGTCAAGAAGCTTGTGGGGCAGCAACAGGGAGCAACCCAGGGCCATGTTTAACCAGGAGAGTCTCTGCAAACAGCAGCGGCTCCTGCAAACAGTGGCAGCTGCCAAGAACCCAGAGTCTGAGTGTCCAGACAACCTTCTGGACCACCGGGCTGCCACAGAAAAAGGAACCTAGGCTAGTCGTCAGGGGATAAGCTACGCAACCTTGGGCAAGTCAGACCTCCTGGGCCTCAGTTTCCCCACCTATATAGCATGGGAGTGGGTTTAGATGACCTCTGAGATCCCTTTCAACTCACACTTTCTATGAATTTTGTAATCAGCGCATAGTCCATATAGAAGACGCACCCTAGAGTCTGGGGAATGGGTCTGAAACTGTCACCCACACACCTCCCTGCAATGCAAATGCAGGCACATCACCACACCATGGAAGAGAGAGCCATCTGTGGCCAAGGTCCCCAGCAATCTCGTCAGGAAATGACCCACCAATGCAGGACGCGCATGCCAGTTGCTGATAAGACCAGAAGGTCGCGTGGATGTCTATAAGAAGCCTGGGGGTGCCTCTCAACAAGGATGACATTGATTTAACAGGCTCCAGTGGAAGATAAGCTGGAATCCTGGACACTGTGGCTCACCAATAGCCAGGCAGTGTTGTCACAACAGAAGGTTTGGTGACTGATAAGGAATATTGAAAAGGAGCTGGAGAGCCACACTTTCTCAGGGTCTGGATGGCACAGGCCAGGAAAAAACGGGGCCTGGCCAGCAGACAGAAGGCCTCTGGCCACCTGACAAGTTTCCTCACTGGAGATGGGGCATCATGGATGATGACATCATGAAGATTACCCAACTCCCTTTGATGACATTGACTCTTAAGAACATCAAACTCTAAAATGATGGAACCACTTTGGAAGAGAATTTGGCAGTACTTACTCAAGCTGTTCAAGGGTACACCCCATGACACAGCAATCCCACTCCTGGGTTGTACCCAGTAGAAACGAGTGCTTATAACAACCAAACAATAGGGGCGCCTGGGTGGCTCAGTCAGTTGAGCGTCCAACTTCGGCTCGTGTCATGACCTTGCAGTTTGTGGGTTCGAGCCCCACGTCAGGCTCTGTGCTGACAGCTCGGAGTCTGGAGCCTGCTTCGGGTTCTGTGTCTCCCTCTCTCTCTGCCCCTCCCCTGCTCATGCTCTGTCAACAATAAATAAATATTAAAAAAAATTTTTTTAAATAACAAACAATAGGTCCAAGAATATTCATAGCAGCTTTCTTCATTATAGCTAACCACAAGAAACAGCCCATGTGTCCATCAAGACTAGCATGGATAAATAAATTCTGGTATAATCATACAATGGAATATTACACTAAAGTAAAAAAAAAAAAAAAAAACCACTGATAGACAAACGTCATTGTTGAATCTCACATGCACAATTTGAGTGGAGGAACTCAGAGACGAAAGAGTAAAGAGTATGTGATTTCATATATCTGCAATTCAAAACTGGAAAAAACCCATCTTAAAGCAACAGAGATCTAAACAGTAGTTGCCCTTGGGTGGGGACAGGGATTATTAACCGGGACAGGCACAAAAGAAGTTTCTGGGGAGAAGATGAGATCCCATCTGGTGGGATGGAAATGTCTACATCTTAATCTGGGTGGTGGTTATAGGAGTGGATAGAGATGTAAAAATGTGTCAGGTTATTTGCTTAAGGTTTTACTGTACCTCAGTTACACTTCAGTTTTAAAAAACTGCCCACTGAGATCACCCAGTTCCTTCTGTTGACACTAACCATTACCCTACCCACTCCCTTCACTCTGACTCCTTGATGAGCTGCCTCCCATGGCTGACTTCTTCACAGTGCAGATTTTCCCTCTGGAGCAAGTGGTGCCCAGGCCCCCTTGGCCTTGGCATTTCAATCTCCCCATCACCTCCCACTGAGCTTTGTTAACATGAATCAGCCTCTCTGACTCTGGTCACCTCTGGAGTGGCTACAACTGTGATCTGGACCCTGAACCAACAGAGTCCCCACCAACTCACGGGCCCCTAATGGGACTCTGTCCCACTTAACCTCCCGCTCCACACACCCCAGGAAGGCACTACCAGCAGCAGCATCTTCGGTTCCAAAGGCAACTAGGCCAGGGCCTGTGTCAAGAGGCACCATGACATCATAATCCCTGCATTCAGTCTGTCAAACAACAAATGCTCCGAGCGGGGGCTGCTGTGCTGGGTGCTGGAGAGACTGTCATGTAAAGCAAACAATGAAAAGAGCATTGTTGGGGAGACAGATAGCACACAAGGGAACAGAAATGAACAGGGTGGTTTCAGAGTGTTGTAAGTGCTAAGACTACTCTAGAGCAGGGGATGCGTCACGGAACAGTGACAGCAGAGGAGAGACATGGTTTAGAGAAATGGGAAAAGCAGACAATCTGGGACTAATTCCTGGCTCTGCCATCCACTAGCTGAGTGACATTAAGCAAATTACTTAACCTCTCTGAGCCTCAGCCTCTTCATTCATAAAATGGGAACAAAAATGCCTTCTTCCAGGGCTGGTGTGAGGGTTTAATACAAGACCTGTAAAACATCTGGCCAAAGAAGACATGCTCTCTCAATAAATGACAGTTCCTGGGGCGCCTGGATGGCTCAGATGGTTGAGTTCCTGACTCTGGATTTTGGTTCAGGTCATGATGTCACAGTCGTGGGATCGAACCCCACATTGGGCTAATGCTGGGCATGAAGCCTACCTAAGATTCTCTCTCCCTTCCCTCTCTGCCCCTTCCCCACTCCCTCCCTCTTAAAAATAATAATAATAGGAGGTCCTGGGTGGCTCAGTCGGTTGAGCGTCCCATGTCAGCTCAGGTCAGGATCTCACAGTTTGTGAGTTCGAGCCCCATGTCAGGCTGTGTGCTGACAGCTCAGAGCCTGGAGCCTGTGTCAGATTCTGTGTCTCCCTCTCTCTGTCCCTTCCCCACTCATGCTCTGTCTCTCTCTGTCTCTCAAAAATGAATAAACGTCAAAAAAATTTTTTAATAAAAAATAAATAAATAAATAAATAAATGACAGTTCCTGAGATGATTAAATAGGGACAAGAGATGGGGACAGGAGACCACCCTCTGTGGCTCCCTCTATATCCCAGCACAGAGACATTGAAAACAGACATAAAGCCGACAGGGATGTTTCACGAATATGTTAAAATTCATGTTGCGGGCTGTGCATGGCTTCAGAGGAGCTGGGAGCAAGGGGAGGGATGGGACCCCTCTGAGCATCCCTCTTAGCATCCAGCACGTCTAGCTCTCGGCAAGTTACTTTGTGACTTTAGCAAGTTACTTAAGCCTCGATTTTCTCATTTGTCAAACGGGGTTGTTGTGAGGAATACATCAGTAACGCACACAAAGTGTTTAAAACAGTGTCTGGCACACAGTAAACCATCCACACATGTTGGCATCATTATTCTAGAAATGATCCTGCACTCCTTTCAAGAATCCACCTCCCTGGGGGCCTGCAAGCCCTCTGCACAAGAGGACCCTGCCTTATCGGCCACAGATGGTGAGGGGTGATACATTCCTGCGGTCCCCTGTGTCTATTTCCAAG